CTCCAAGAACTTGTCCAAGCTCAGCCTGACAGGACGGAACTGCTTGCGAACAGATCTGTCACACCGTTTGTGGCTAATTTCCCATTTTGGGGTGGGCTAAAAGATTGAAAGGACACAAATCACCATTTCTGGGTCCCCCTGTTTTGACATTTTGACACCTCTAGCAGGGAGGTCAAAAGTGGGATATACAATTGTAATGAGTCGCTGCATGTTCAGAAAGACAATACGTCTTCATTGTAAGGACCCCCCCTGCCTTTACCCTGGCAAATGCCAATAGGGTCCCAAGCCAATGCATGAACTAGGCAGCTAAACCAACTACTACCAGGCAGGCGTCACCAGGGCGCGGACATCTTCTCCAAGTGCTCATCGTACAACACAAAGGCCCCGGCCTGGGAGGCTTGCGCCGAGGCCGAATCGCCCAGAGCCCAAACAGCTACCAGCAAAAAATACTACCAGTAAACATGTCGTTTCAGCTTGCGTCAGGCAAATGGAATCAGGAACTCGTCAAGACAACAATGCCAGCCGAAGAAACTGTCCAACGGACGAACACCAAACGCATTCACCAGCGTTTCCCAGCTCATGTGAGGCCTGTGTGCGCTCTCTGCCAGGCCCTTCTCCGTCTTCAAGTTCATTTGACCCAAGGTTGCGGCGACAGTCAGTGACTCGCTCGCAAGGGCCCTGCCTGCCAGCCCAAACAACTTCAACGGATTCGGGTGCTGCAATTCCTTCAGATAACCCCCATCTACCATTATGCCAAACGAGACATAACGAGACAATGCATAGTCATGATAAGTTTGTTTGGCAACCCTTCATTTTGAGACTTCTGTTGAGTGGGAGCGGCAGGACAAGCAGCGTTACAACAAAGTCTTTAGCAGCCTCTTTGCCCCCAGAAAGCGCATGTGCATCAGACGTGACATGCCATGCTGGACGTATGGCAATGACGCAGTAAGACCGAACATCAAACAAACAAAGACAAGCCATCAAGCGCATTTTTTAATCGACCAAAAACCGCTGAGGCATTGCCGAGGCCCTGCATTTTGTTCCGACAGGTTGGACGCGGCCTAGCCGCAGAACCGCCGCAACAAGGGGCATCTCGTCCGCAGCGCGTAAAGGTGCAATCTGGCCGAGCTGCATATTTGCGCGCAATGAGACACGATCAGCTGCACGGGCAAGAAGTTAGCCTTTTTTAAAAAGGGCGCATACGACCTTTCTGGGGGGGGTAGGGAGCCCTAATGCTGCTCCCACAACGGCATTCATCCAGCTCCACACGTGCAACGCTTCACTGCTCTCATTCTTTGGCTGCAAATGCTCAACTAAAATGAAGCAGCATTTCCCCAGAAGCAAGCGTGCATGTCAAAGTCTGCTAGCTGTTTTTTTATGTTTCGGCTGGGGAACACCAGCACTCACACATGTCGGGCTCGGTGAGATACGTGTCGCGGCGTGGTGTCATCACCGAGTGAAAGCAGCGTGCGCGGATCTGAGCCGGCCCCTAACACACACCCACACAAAAACAGAAACATACAAACACACAACCACACACAATATACATATATATATACATCACAGAAATGCAAAGACACCGAAGCAGCACGCACACAAACACAAACACAAACACACACACACAGACACACACAGACACACACACACACAGACACACACACACAGACACACACACACAGACACACACACACACACACACACAGACACACACACACAGACACACACACACACAGACACACACACACACAGACAGAGACACAGAGACACAGAGACACAGAGACACAGAGACACAGAGACACAGAGACACAGAGACACAGAGACACGGAGACACGGAGACACACAGACACACAGACACAGACAGACACACAGACACAGACAGACAGACACACAGACACAGACAGACAGACACAGACAGACAGACACAGACAGACACACAGACAGACACAGACAGACACACAGACAGACACAGACACACACAGACACACACAGACACACAGACACACACAAACAACACACACAGACACACACACACACACACACAGACACACACACACACACAAAGACACAGACACACACACACAGACACACACACAGACACACACACACACACAGACACACACACAGACAAACACAGACACACACAGACACACACACAGACACACACACACACAGACAAACACAGACACACACAGACACACACAGACACACACACACACACAGACACAGAGACACAGAGACACAGAGGCACAGAGACACAGACACACACACACACACAGACACAGACAGACACACAGACACAGACAGACAGACACAGACAGACACACAGACAGACACAGACAGACACGCAGACACACACAGACACACACAGACACACAGACACACACACACACACACAGACACACACACACAGACACACACACACACACACACAGACAAACACAGACACACACTGACACACACACTGACACACACAGACACACACAGACACACACACAGACACACACAGACACACACACACACACAGACACACACAGACACACACACAGACACACACAGACACACACAGACACACACACAGACACACACAGACAGACACAGACACAGACACACAGAGACACAGAGGCACAAAGGCACAGAGACACAGAGACACAGACACACACACACAGACACACACACACACATAACATACACACCAGCATATGAATTAACGATTTCACAACACCATCTCCAAGCAAATCTCCCTGGGACCCCACGAAGGGAAACATATGGGTCAGTTAGCATCCAATTCCTGCTCCTTCTCTCCTGTGATTCTCTCATGGTTCGCGGCTCCTCGCCGATGTACACCTCCAAGGATCCCTGTGAGCAGCTGCGGCTGGGGATCGGTAGAGTCATGGCGCCTGCGGCTCGGGGGGATGCGGGCTGAGGACTCCTGAAAGCTACGCGAGTCATAATTTCCTCAGCTGAGTCATGTTCAAAACCCAGTTGCGGCCGAAGAGAAATATCAAATCCCTTCCGCAAAGGCTTCCGCGGAGCTTGCGCGGCGTAAAAGGCTCCTTCCGCAAGAGGATTGAAGAGGGAATCGCTTCCGCGTCGCTTCCACGGATTGAGAAACGGGATTGAAGTTTGTCTTCGCTTCCGCCCGTGAAGGAAAACTACAATCTATTGCTTTCGTGATTGAATCGTAGCCCTTCCGCGAAGCTTCCGCGAGTACATGATTGAGAAACCCCTTCCGCGAATCTTGCGCGGTGCTTCCGCGACCTGGGAAAAGTCAACCTTTTGAAAACGATACTTCCTCCCGAATACTACTTTCAAGTGCAGGGGTGTTAGAACGCCGCTCAGCTGGGAAGGGAATGACCACCTACAAACCATCCCGCCTAGAAATCCCTAGGTTCTTTCCTAGACTCTGGGTCAATCCCTACATGTTGGCTTGAGTAGGACTGCTGCCACCGCGACAACGTACTACTTCTGACTAGAAGCACACCCACTCCCAGCAATATGGCTCCCCTTTAAGCCGTGCTGTCGAGTTTGCCCCCCAGTGTGTTAGCTCTTTGTTGTAAAACATCTGATGTCTCTTTCCAGTGATCTTGCATGCAACAGCCCTGCGCTGGCCTGATCGCATGTTGGTGAAAAACGCGGGCGACCTCGGCCATGCATTGTTGGATCAAGCGGCAAGCCAAATGTTGCTCCATTCTGGAGCTGATGTGTTTCATGATCAAACTGCCAGCAATGGGGGCTTTCATGCATGAAGGTTGGTCGAGAAGAATATGGAGGTGTGGCATGAGTCCATTACAGTATTTGCTTCTGCAACAAGAACCAACCGCAACCAAACAACACGTACGAGTAGAAGAGGCATGAACAGCACTCAGTCAGTGTCAAGCCCTTGTAAGGCTCCCACGTTGAAGGCGACACCGGAGGTCTCGATTGAGATAGACGCCGCGCGCCTGTTGCTATGCACAGGCCCATGCGAAGGATTTGCAAGATCTGAGGTCGGAGTCGGAACCCTCGGGGTCAAGGGTCTAAAATCTGTAGGCTTCGCGCTGGCCAGTTTAAACGATGCCCAATGAGTGCTTGAAATGCCAGAAGAAACCAGGAGTCATACGTTCTGCTTTCTAATGCGCAAAACCACGCTCTGTCCAGTACTGTTGCTTGCACTTGCACGCACATGGAAGCGGGAGCGCACGCGCTGCTGCATGTGCGCGCACGCGCCAGGATCCCCAACCTAGCACTGGCGACCCGACGCATGGAGCAGTCCTCAGCGGCTTTATCTCACAGAGGTTCATCTAGCTGCCCCAGACCCACCAAAATACAAACTCACACAAAGGCACCCAGTCCAGAAACTGCCGGAGTAAACCGAGCAACAAGCAACCATGCAAACTGAGTGAGGAATCTGCGATTCTGCAATTTGTCCAATTGCCCGCAGCCTTCCCGTTGAAAAGTCCGATGCCAGCACTGGGCACAATTTCACAGCCATTCCAGGTAAGGCCCCTGCGCTGGGCGATCCGCATCCAGGTAACCGCCGCCATGTCCGGTGTCCTCGCAGTTCTAAACAAAGCAACTAACCTCTGAATAGCAAACATCGGAGATCATGGGAGCAAACAGGCAGGCTGGTCTGGTAGACTCTCTCTCGCAATGGACCCCTGTCCACTTACAAAATCCAGCCCTGGAATGAACCCCGTGCAAATGCCAACATCGTCCCTGCCAGACTCTGAGTTGCCAAGTCCCTCGCATATCCATTGAAGCTCAATGATGTGGAGCTGCCTGAGATGTCGGCTGGCAAAGAATTGCTTGCTTCGCGCCTGGCTCCATGAGCCAGTGGCAGGCACAAAACCAAGAAGTCACCCTGATTGGCTTGTCAACTTCTCGCGCCCATACCCCTCTTGGACACCACAGCCCGTAAGAAGCTTCTGCGCCCATATGGCCAAAAGCCGCGCTCAGCGCGGGACTTCCAGTCCTTGTCAATGTCCCGAAGCCCTCCTGCGCGCATGGAGGTGGCAAGTAGCCTTATTTAGGCAGGCCGCCGCATTCAGCCCAAAAGTGATGGTGCACGTTCTGACTGGCACAAACGGGCTTCAAGCACTCGTCCCGGTCCCCGTTCACGAACCATCGCTGGAACTCGATGTAGTTCAAGCCATCCTCGCCTCTGCCTTGGTGGAGCCCTGCTACAAATTCTTCAAGACTAAAGCACCGAAATCTGCCAGTGGCCCATACTGAGCCAGGCGCCTTGAGCAATCAAATACTGCCACAAACGTAGCACCATCTCCTCACATATGCCACGCACTAAGCAATTGCTTGACTGACACCCAGAACCACCCTTTGCATTGGACACTGAGATTTTCGAATGTTTCCGCGATCCGTTCAGAGGGTCTTTGTTGTGCAGCACCTGCTATATGCGTGTGAAGTCCCAATGCTGCAAGGTCAGCTCAATCCGCACACTGATGCAATGCGACGGCGACTTCGCGACATCCAAATCTGGGGGCCTGCTCGAGGTTTGGCTCGAAGGTCCCCAGCCTTGCCACGATTCATGCAACGAAGCGTGGCTCTGCAGAGCTGTGCGGGCCAACAGGCCCAACCTCTAAGGGACAACATCTCGTATTGATGCGTGAGGGGCTGAAGCCGCTTCATTCGCTTTCCTCGAGAATTTGGATTCTGCCCAACTCTGCGCTGGGCTGCCGGCACGCGGAAAAAATCAGACCTTGTCATGATCAGTCCACTTGCCTTAGATGCGGCCGACGCCGTTCGAACCCGAAGCTTGCCACTGGAACCCCACCGTCCCCACCCTGTCAAGCAGTTTCTATGGAACAAAAACCTGTCACACGCCCAAGTCCCCTATACAAATGTCCCTCGGAAAATGACACCCAGTTACAAACCAACCTCACGCTTCAAAGGCCTTTGCCAAGCCGATCCACTTGTGGCGGGCCACTTTGCTCCGGGCCCTTCAGCCAACCCGACGCCCAAGTCAACTTGCCCAGGTGGGCCCTGCATCCTTTCCATGCCGGGCTGCTCCAGAGACACCTGCCTTGCAGAACCGTTTGAAGAGCTGCTCCGGGCTTTGGCGCCTCAGCTTGCTGCCAGCTTACGTGCAAACAATACTTAGACCTTTTCTAGCAGCCAAATCCTTGGACAGATGTGGGGATCTCACTTGCACTGCAAAGGTCATCTTAGAGCCGGAGGTGTCAAAAACTGCACTTGTACGGAAAAGTTGCGATTCCGCAGCTGGAGCTGCCAAAGTACTACACTTGCACTGAACATCTGCCCGTGTAACGCGTCCGCGCAGGCAACACCCTTTGCAGCGGCATGGGCTTGTGGAGGCTTCCGCGTAGGCATGCAAGTGTGTATAGGCCCCCAACCATCAAGAAAACCACTGCTCGTTTGTCGGTGAAACCTGATTCAAGATTATTATCGCAAAATGCCTTGAAAGCCTATGCGAATGCCTACGCGGGGCCGCGGGGCCTACGTGAAGATTGTAGAACAAGCAGAAGGGAGGCAAAAGAAGCAAACAAACTCCTTTATACTTGGCAAACAGCATTGAGACATGATTCTTCCCTTTTATATATAAACCCTATCATTTGACTAAAAACTGCTGCTCAAATGGACATGCGCAATGCTGAGAAGTGTGGTGGCAGCGTGGTGGCACTTGAATGTACATAAACGCTCCTTACTTCAATACTCTTACATGTGCATGCAATTGCATGCACAACATATCGAATTTATGGCGATATAACCGCAAAAGGCAGTTGTGCCCCATTCTGGCACGCCTCTGACGGCTGACGGTGCATATTGCTAATTGCCGGCTGCGAGTTTCCTGCAGAACTGCAATTTGGCTTGGAAACCGGAAGTGTTGCTTAGCAAAAAAAATCTCAGCCATGGCCAAAGAGCACAAAACAAAAGGTTGATTTTTGGCAAGTTCCCTTCTGTTGGTTGGTGTCACGGTGCAACCTGCAAGCTTCATCAAGGTTCTGGCTGCACAAGGCAAAGCCACATGCCAACTGGATTCCCATAGCCCTTGGCCTTGCCAGCCCCAAGGATCCAGCGACCGGCGCACCGCGCTCCTGACCCTCTTCATGACGCTCAAGACCTGACGCGCCCGGCTAGGGGATTTGATGGCCCAGCGCTGAGGTGGCAGAAGCTGGAAAATAAACAATAAACTGCCTCATTGCTGGCGGTCCCTGGGCTGGTGGTGTGGTCCCTGCGCAGGAAGGTTGGATGTCTGGCTCCTAGTTGGCTTGTGGGTAGAATCAGTCGTATTTTTGTACAACAGGCGGCATCATTAGCTGAAACAGCTGGATAGTCGTCCCAGCCTTCCAGCCATTGGGAATGTATGGGCGTCTCAGCATGGCTTAGCATGAGCCAGTGCTGGTGCACACGTGGGTCAAAGGCTCAAATCATCAGCCCGCGGAGGAATTCAGCCGGCCTTGTCCGTGCCCTCGCCATCCGGAAGGGGCGTCACTGGCGTGATGCATCCAAGGCCTGGACACTAAGCCAGCCTTGTCATATTTTGAGCATGTCTTACCTGTTCCGAGCGGTTGCCAGGACACAGCGGAAAGAAATTAAAGAACGTTGGCCAAATAGGGCCACTAACCTGCTCAACAGTCATGCCATCCTCCAGAGTCGGCTGGCATTTCAAAGACCGCCATGCTGATGTTCATGCTTGCACAGGCAGCAAGCTCTTGCAAGACTGCGCATGTGTGATTGCAAGAAGCTGTCAAAAGAACATGTTACAGCCTCACTTGCCTTGCCGAGAACCTCTGGAGCCCCAAACCCAAAACCCCAAACCCTAACACCCTAAATCCTAGTGTCGGAAGTTCGGAAACATGGGTGACATCGTAAGTGCATATTCTGAAGCCACCCTTGGCTGAATGCTGCAATAATGACTCTCTTTGAGTCAAGTTGCAGACGCAAATGGGGGCCGTGGCGGCTCAACAAACCAAGCTTTTGCTGGAGCACATGAGCAACATCAATTTGATGAGTCGATATCCATTGACGTGGTCAACCTGGTTTAGCGCTCGGATCGACGATGGTTGATTTATCAGCCCAGACTCCCTGATCGACTTGTGAGTTTACAACATGGCGTAGGCTTAGGCCTTATTGTAACACCATGACACCAAATAAAACGAGGCAAAATCACAGTTTACTAAAATGGCCTAAAGGCTCTTGGCGCTGCTCAATTGGCTTGCCAAAGCATCCTGAGATGCCAACTGAAGGGCGATGCATCCACCTCCTGAAGCACGGTGAGAGTAAATTAAGAGGCGCGTATCCGTGTGTGATGGTTGCTCTGTCTGGAACAATGAGGTCAAACAAAATAGGCCCTGCCTCACGTGAAGCCACACAATGATGTTTGCTCTCCAAAGTTTTGTGTCGATCGTGCCGCTTGAAAGCTGGACAAGTTACCCCTGGCTTTGCATTGGCCATTGCCGCCCACACTCCTGCATCACTGGAAATGCAACGGCTGAGTTGGTGAACCTTGGCATCGCACACACAGTGCTCGTAACAATGCCTGCGCAAGCAAATGATCAGCACAAGTGCCAGGATCTGCTCCAATCTGATGGCTACAGCAAAATCATTTTGACCCACTTGCCCCAGGCAAATAAGGCAGACTCTCCAACGCTCGCCGTAAAGGTGACGCAGAACGACTGCTCCTGCCGCGCGGTTTCGCAGTTTGACACCCCATCTGCATAATCATATCGCGCGAATGTTCCATCGTGTCCTGGAAGCTGCCATGGCCTGTCGCTCCTGGGCAAGGTGGGCACAAGGAAGTCTAGGCAAGGTATTGAAGAGCAAACGTGCCAACATGCCTCCCGCACTACAGCTTCCAAAGAAACAACCTACCGCAATTAACCACAATCATGGTGACCATTTCACTAGTACGTAAAAGCATTGTCGAAAAAAAAAAAAAAAACACCTAGATTTACACTCATTAGCTCATTCATTAGCTCATATGACCAATGGTCAGCTGCCCCAATGAGTGGGGCTTTAGGAAACCGATTGTGTGGGCAAATGGTCGTTACTCGGCCAAGCTGACCTCTGGTTTCCCTGCACATTGCCAACTTTAGCAATCCCTTCTTGCACGCTGTGCGCCTGGGCGGCTTGCACGGCTGGCTGCGTCTGTAGTTGCTGCACCTGGCTGCTGGACAAAGTGCGTTGACACAGCTTACAGTTTGAACAAAAGGAGGTGTCAACAAAGGCATCCCATCAACCCTGCACCACTGACGAGCCGAGAATGCACGGAAAATATCACACAACCGAAATATCTTTGTTGCCTTCAGTCTGTGATTTAGACACGCAATATGCCTGCCATGGCATGCAGTCAGCCGCACACGGCAGCCTGCTGCTGCAGCACTTGTAGCTGCTGCAGTCGGTGGTGAAGTGCTGCCAAATGTCGAGAACAGACCTCGCCGCAACAAACTGCAAAAGCCGCCCAGCAATCTGCTGGCTCCAAACAATGCTTGCTCCGACTGTGGCGTTGCGCATCATCCCAGTCACCAATACTGAAACTAACAAAAACATGGTCTAACTCCGATGGATGAAGGCAAGCCTCAGCGCAAGCTGCAGCAGCTACAGGTAGCGCTTTTGCCGTGATCGCTGCCAGCATTTCTTCCTCTCAAGCGCGCTGCGTGAATACACGAAGCATCAATGTCTGAATGTCAAACAAAGTTTTGACTCGCAACAAACTTCAAAGCTAACTTCAACTTCGGAGCAATGCGGAGAGGCACACTGCAGTAACCAAAGGAAGCCCCAAACAAAATGACCCACCTAATCACGCCTGAATGTCCCTCGGGTTTTCCGAAGTTGACCTTAGCAGCAAGAAGCGCAGTGCGTCCTGAATCTGTGCCTCCGCACCGGCCATTGCGTCATGAAACATGAACCGTCGGGTGCGGCCTGCTGAAACGTTGTCGTAGCACGGCGTGCGCATTTGGATGTCGCGAAACGTGGGGCGTCAACACTTTTGATGATCACACAATGGAGTGTCGTGCCATTGGTGCCCTGCATGCGGGCCGATTCCTTGATCCCGATGACAGCGGCACAAAGATCATGAGAGCTGGCTGTGGGGAAAGCTAATCAAAATCGAGAGGACGTGGCCGCAGCCCCGGCTTGACGAAACTAGCAATCATGTAATCAAGAAAACTTATAACACGCATGGCAGCTGTTTCTCGAATGAGAATATGGAAAGTTGCCCAGACGCATGTTCCCAAAACGGCCGCGAATAGGCGGGAGGAAAAAACGAGTGTGCCCATGCGATTTGTTTCAAAGTGGCTTCATGCCAACTCTAAAATAGCTTTCCCCATTGGCACACCGCTTGCGGCACGAGATCATGGCTTGCAGGGCGTGTAACCACAAGGACCTAGAACCTTTTTGCGCCCGGACTAAAAAATTACAATTTTCGGTTTGCGTTCTTGTTGGCTCCTGGAAAGGCTTTTTTTTTGCACGCGCCTTTTTCAGCCCTCCCCCCCATTTAGCCTCCGGGCAACAGAGGGCTGTGCGGCTCTTAGGCAAGTGAACCAGAGAAAACTTCTCGCGCGCGCTCCGGGCGCATCACAAAATACAAATCGTCGAGAAACGCGAGCAGCAGCTCGCTTTCTTGAAGCTGAGCCGCGGCTGCCGAGCGCGCAGCGTGCTGCGCGAGGGTGAACAGAGCCGGGGCCAGGGCATCGCCCCAAGCTCGTATTGCGCCGCTGCCTTTCCCGCGCGGTGGTCAGCAAGGTGTTGCGGGGGAGGCCCCTGCATGCATGGCTTTGGGAAACATTGGGAAACTGAGTTCGGCCGGTGGTATTCCACCCTAATGACTTCGCGGGGGGCTGCGTCCCAGCCACATCCGTTCCTGCCACAGTGTCCGCCAGTGTGCGACATGTGTCCGCTGAGGCTCCCCCTTTTGCCCCCCGCCTCCTTCCTTGAAGCCCAGCGAAAACCCACAACGACCGCTGCTGCTTGGCCATGTTTGGCGTCGAAGCCGGCAGCCGTTGGAGTTTTTGCGGGCTTTTTGCGTTCGGTGTTTTTCTTTTTTTGGGCACCTTTTTCTACAGCGTCTTTGTCGCCATTCAGGGGAGCCCCGGGCACCAGGGTTCTGCAAACTGTTTTTCGGAGGCGAGCTTCCTCACCTGCACACTGTTTTTACGGAGGGCAGCGTCCTCGCGTGCACACGACGGCTACCGGGCCGACAGGGCGACCGAAAAGCCGAAGCAGATCTTGCAGCTTCGCGTCGGACTGCTTCTACCAGCTTCACGCTAGCAATAGCCTCGTCGTCTTTGAAGGTAAAGTCGCCACTGTGGGGCAAGTCGTGGCGCAGAAGCGTGCGCTGACCCCCCTCAGCGTCGTAATCTGCTACCACGACTTGGTAGAGCAGCCGACCCCTGAAGACGCAAAGCATTTCGTGCTTCAGGTGAAGAACCAGGTGCTTTTCCGTCCAGAGAACGCACCCGCCGCCGAGGACAAGAAAAGCGCAGATGGCTGCGTAACTGTGGCACTGACCAGCCATCCTGCTGGGAAACGTCTCGCGCGCATCTGCTGTGGGCAGTGAAGTGGCCTGCCCGCGGTTTGCAGCCCGTGCGCCCCATGATAGTCCTCGCCGCCAGCACCACTGTCACAGCAGGGCAAGCGGTTGAACTTGCCAAGTAGGCATGGCCGCTTCGCTTGCAAGGCCTTTGGCACTGGGTTAGGCACTCTTTGGCTCTGAGGGAAAAAGGATTGTGTTGTGTTGGTTTTTTTTTTTTTTAATGTTGCTTGGTCCAGGGTCCATCGTGTTGAAATACTTCACAAACGTCAATGATTTTGCATTGCACCCTTTGTTTGGCTCAAAATCAATATCAGTCTGGTCTGGCTGTCAGGTCATGCCGTCGCCACAGAGTCATGTCAGGGCCCAGCCACAAGTCGCGAGTTGTTGTCGCCCCGGTCAATGTCAAGCTTGTAGTCTTAGTTTTCTGCCATCTGACGCCCTCGCCGTGCCGCCGAAAACACAGACTAGAAACAAAACAACGTGAGCGCAAATTGCCCTGGGGTGCACCCAGCCTCGGCCAACGCCACCCCCTGGCCAAGGCGGCACGCCTGGCGTGCCAGCAGCGGCAAGCTCCGGCAGCCTACTGCCAGACCCGGCCGCGCCCAAGCAGCGCAGTGCTGCGTCTGCCATGGCTACTGGCTCGGCGGGGCCGGCGCCATCAGCGGCGGGGAAAGCTGCCCAGCCGCCTCCAAGCGGGAAACCAAAGGCAGCCCAGGAAGCGGCGCCTGCTTCAGCCGCCCCAAAGCAGCCAGCAGCACACGCCTGGCGCTGCTGCCACCGCAGTGACAAGTCACCTCAAGCCAGCGCAGCAGGCGCCCCGCTGACGCCACGGGCCAAGCACAGCCACCGCAGCAAGCGCCCCTTGCAGCTGCTGTCACTGGCAAATCCCAGCCAGCACAGCAGGCGCCTCCTGCTGCTGCCACTGGCCAAGCCCAGCCAGCGCAGCAAGCGCCCTTGCAGCAGCAGCAGCAGCTACCGGCCAATCCCAGCCAGCACAGTCAGCTTCGCAAGGTGCAGCAGCAGCCACCACTCAGCCGCGCAGGCCGCACTTGCCACTGCCAGCCAGGCAGCGCAAGCAGCACCTGCTACTGTTACTGGCGCAAGCGCCAGCGCCAATGACAAGCAGCCCGGATCTGCAGCTGCCGCCGCCGCCCCCAGCGGCTCGTCCGCCGATGCGCCATAGGTTTGCTCCAGTGATTCAGTGCGACATCTGTGGGCAAACTATCGAAGGCGACATGCTGGCGGTGCGCGCGCGTCAGACCACCAGCAGCCGGCGCGCTGCCACTTCCAGTGGCCAAGGTCTTGCCCACCGCGTGCGCTGCCCTCATGGCTGCCCGAGAACAATCGCCCGCGATGATGCGTGGGCTTTGCAGCAGCACGAGATGCGCTGCGAAGCACTCCGCGCACATGAGGCGAAAGACCCGCCGAGCTACTGGCCTAGCCAGCGCTCGGGGTCAAATCAAAATCAGCCCAGCCACTGGCAAGGCCAGCGCTGGGAAGATCGCCGTGACTCGCATGACAATGACGCCGGCTACTGGCAGCAGGAAGGCCAGCGCTGGACGCCCAACAGTCGCTGGCAACGCAGCAGAGCCAGGAGCCAGCAACCAGCTCGCGCAAGCGATATCATCCTCCACCAAGCAATGAGCTGGGAACTGGAAAGCGCTGCCGAGGCGCTGCAGCAAAGCCAGCAGCAGCAGCAGCAGTGGCGCGAAGCTGCTGCGCCGTGGCGCACCACCTCTGAGTTGGAGCAGCCCAGCCACTGGCATAGCCAGCGCTGGGACGGCGACGACGGGTGGCATCCTGATCCTGGCAGCCCAGCCCTGGGATGGTGTGATTTTCCGTGCGTTGGGTGCCATTTGGGGTAGCATTTGAGCAAATAATATCAGGGCACTGTTCGAACTTCTGTAGGAAACGCACCCCCCAAAACCACCTTTGATTGGCATGTACCGATGTGGGATTCAAGTGGAAAAAGTCGATTTTACATTCCAAAAAAATCGATTTGAACAAATATGCCTTTGCTCCCTTCCACACCGGTCGCAACAGCAGCACACGGAAATGTGCGGGACAGCTGCATGGCTGCAAAGGCTGCATCCAAGTTGTTGTTGTGGGCAGACGTTCTTTGCAAGTCAAGGGCTGCCGACGCGGCTTTCTGCCACCCCCGCACGGGGCCACGGTTGCCTGGAGCATGCCCAGGACACGGCAACAAGGCACATCCGGCTCCAGTTGGCGTACAATATGTTGCGCGAGGTCGGGATCTCTGCGGTGGATCGCCAACAAGCTGTCAGCCCACGAGGCCCAAGACGCCGCAGGCGCATGCAGCCGGGCTGAACGCAGCCCTGGCCCACCATGGCGGAGGGCAAGTTGGGACTGCCGACCACGTCGTACCGCGTGCAAACTCTGCAGTCGCTGTGCGGCGACTGTCACAGCGAGAAGACCTTTGTGGCGTGCCTCCCGCCGACGTTGTATGACTTGTGGAGCCCGGGCGACCACAGATCGCCCAGCTGGAGATGCTGATGGTTCAGTATGCTCTGCACAGCGCTTTCGGGGCAGGAGGGGGATTTGGTCATTGACAATGTGGCATCCCTGATGGCCCTAGTGCGCGGGCGTTCTGACAGCCCTGACCTGGATTTGATGGTCCGGCAGATCCACATCATGCTCTTCGCCCTTGGCTCTTGGTTTTACTGGGAGTGGGTCCCCACTAAGAGCAACTGGGCGGATGCCATCAGCCGGTTGGGCCGGGCGGATCCATGGCACAGAGCGAATGGTTTTTCTACGGCAGACGCCTTTTTCCCGTTTGAGTTGTGGCAGTTACCACTGCCCGCCTTGGTGCTCGTTATGCAGTTTCTGTAAAGTGCTTTTGGGGTAGTGCGTTGGGAGATTCCTGGACAGGGTGTCCACATAGGGTCTCTGACCATGATGCCAAAAGCATCTGTCTGGCAGGAGGAGAGGCCTGACAGACGTCCCAAAGCAAAATCCCTATGGTAGGGTTTGGAACTGCATTGCGTCGGGCTGGCGAAGGAAAAAGGACGCGTGCTCCGTTCTAAGTGACATACACAGGAATGTGTGAATGCATTGAGTTTGGTAGGCTTGGGTATGCATTTATCATTCCTTGATGTCTTGCCATTTTGGGACTCAAGTGGCCTTGATCGTGCTCCGTTCTAAGTGACATACACAGGAATGAATGCAAAACCAAATGCAAAAAAAGTTGCCTTCAGCCTCGCCTACATCCTCGAGATATTCGAGAACGGCATTCCTGAACACACACATGTCAAAAAACAACAAAAATGAAAGCCAAATTTCGAAAATGCAAGTTGCTTTCAACCTGACCTACCTCTTCGAGATAATTCGAGATAATTCGAGAAAAATGAGATAGCCAAAAACCACCCAAATCTAGC